CATACTATTTGCAAATCAACAATACTCCTAATCTTAAATTAAGGTTTTCTCATTTCTAGAGATCTCTTCAGTTGCTATCTTATAGAAGAAATTATGCCTTATGTGCAAAGGGAAATCTAAAAAAATAATATATTGTTCAATTAACAGCTGTTACTAAATCTTTGTATGAGTTATTAAACCATCACAGGTTTATTTAAAACGCACTAAAAGTATATTACTTGGCTCTTACAGCTTGATTAAACATGGCAAGTATTTTAATATCTAAAACTGATAGTACATTAATTGTGATTTATCTTTCTTTGACAATTCAGAAAACTAGGTTGCATACTATTGTGGATACTCTTTAATATACTTCTCTCTTTTCTTCCAATTTTCTTACACGTAAAGTGTGTGTGTGGGTATGTACAGATGTATGTCTCCAACTTCAACAAATATTTGTAAGATGTACCTATTATGGAATAAATTTAAAGTCTCTTTTCCTGTTTTATCTTTGAAATAATTTCAAGACCATATTGATGCATCTGAATACAGAAATACTGCATAGCATAAACATTCTTGCTAAAGGTAAACGGTAAATATGTTTGTTACACCATAAAGGACATTTCTGAAAGACTGATGACACTAGCTACTCCTGTACATTTCAACTCTTTATACTGGTACAGTATACAATAAAGTCATTATACAGTCTTATTTAAAGTTGTATTAGTTTTAATCCCTGAACAAATTATACTTGCCTAAAGCTGCCTGATCACTTAACTCTTCATTCTAAAATTGGATAATCTAATCCAAGGACATTGAACATTTTATTTGTTCCCCTAATGTAGTAAACCTTGTGCTTGTCTGAAGTCTCAATTAAAATTTTCAGACTTGTCATTTTAAATCTACAAATACACCAGACTTCAAAAACCTAATAATCAAAATTACTGTCTATAGAGATTCTCAATCATCTAGGTCACAGTCGTCCAAAGAGTGGTTTTTTGAAAAAGCAATGGGACTTTTTTTTTTCTTTGAAAATGTTTCACTTCTTATCCAAGGCTTTAAGTAAAGGCTGCAGTAATCTGCCTTATTTTAATTTAAGGGCTAAATATTTCTGAATTATGCTTGCAATCAAATCTGATTAATTAAAGCAAAAATTTACTCAGGCAAGAATTATTTTTATCCTATTTGAATCAGAATTACTAGGTGATTTAGATATATAAAAATAGAATTAAAACTACCAAGTCAATTGGCTTAATTCTTTTTTAAGAAAGTGTTAGGAATATTTCAGATGCTTGCTTGAACGGATTCTAGAGATCCTAGTGTATTCTCTGTATTATAGCTTAATGATAAGAATTCAAATGGTTGAATTTTGAATACAAATGATTGAATTTTTAGCTTCATATATATTATCTTTGAGGGAGTGCTACCTTTCTTGTTAAGCATTTTGGGAGGGGGAACATCTGAAGTCTCAGTTATGTATAAGTATTTAGCAAATTTTGAAATATGGTAGGACACTACAGACTGTTTGCTTTTATGCAATAAATGTTGCTTTAAAATAAAGGTAACACTTAATACATTTTCATTCAAGCCATAATCCAGCAATGATTGTAATCATGTCCGTATTTCAATTCTCTTTAATAGAAATACGCGTGAGAAACATAGTTATTTGTCTCATATCACTTTAATAATACTTCTGTTTTTTCTAGAAAATAGTATACTAGGCTCCTCCAGTTTTTTTAATGTGCTAGCATTAGTGAGAACCCGATGAAGGCTCCAAATTCATTCCAAGATGGATGTAGGATTTATTTATTCATTGAGTAGCATAAACTGTTACTATGTCTGTTTTCAGTTATCAAGCAACCACCATAATCTACCCCATAGCAGTTGGATTTTTAACTGATGTTTGTTTACTGTATCATCTGGGCTCTTCTGTAACACATCTTGGATGTCCAGTGGACAGACATCCTAGACAATTTAAAATTGTTTTCAGATTCTTCTAAAAAAAGCTTTATGCTATTTATATGGGGAAAACACGGGAAAGCATTCCTATCCATACATACAAGTTCCTAAGAGGCATCTGTTACCTTTTCTGTATAGAATGTTCTTCTCAATTAGTTATCTCATTTAATAAAAACTTGATATGTAAATATGTTAATTTTAAATCAAAGGTGCTACTAAAATTAGGATTTTTTTTATTGAACAGATTTTCAGCTATGAAGAGACAACTTTGAACTCATTTTGAGAAAGTTCTCATATTCTAGCTGTTGAAATTAGGTATCACAATATGAAATATTAGGAAAACAATGTGTATAAATATGAAAAATGTTCATGTAGAATTAGACTGACAAACTTATTTGTTGCAGTTTGTCTTAAAACTCAGTTTTATTCCATGTTGAGTTCCTGACTCATGACTTGCAAATCTCTTGCCTACAGTATTACTTTTTGCTGTTAATTTTTCTCATATCATAAGATAATGACTGTTGTGGGATATTTCCATTTGATATCTTTGAAATAAGACTAGAAATTAACTATTTAAATTCTAATTTACTGTGTTGAAACAGACAATTTCCTCTGTTGTTATTTTCTAAATAAAAATGTGGAAACAGTAATTTGAGTATTCAATATTTTTAAGTATGTTAAAATGGATTGTGAGATATTGGTTACATTCTTTTTATATTACTCTCGAAACAAATATGAAATATACCTCTACCTTGATATCTTAATTATCCTATAAATTATTCCACAAAACAACTTTCACAATAATATATTTTTGCACAGCTATTACTTGGTGCATCAGAATATTAGCCATTAGTTCTGTAACAGCAAAAAAAATATAAAAGAAAATATTTGTACTATATAGTTAAAATACAAATAAAAAGTTTTCAGAAAAAGCTGTTTGCAGTTGGCTTTCTGTGCTGGTTGGGCACTCTTATTTGGATAGTCAGATTGAGAATACTATATAAAAAGAAAAGTAAACCTTCCTGCTTTTAAGAACTAGGAAAACCAGCTGTTAAATGTTTGAAAGTAAATCCTATTGAAGGACAGATTAGCATCATTCACAAACAATATTACACAGTCCGTTTATACAAAACAAGGTTGAAATGGTATGCTTTAAAATGTGTCTTGAATACTTTTCAAAGGCTTGCAAATAGAGGTGTTTTCATTCAAAAGGTTCCTAGCACTAATAATCAGAAGTCATTTAAGTCTACATTTTGTTCATCTGATGCACAATCTCACCTAATACTGAATTATAGGGCTGGAAGGGACCTTGGAAATCTAGTCCAACCCCCTGCTCAAAGCAGAAGTCTTTATACCATACCGAACCAGTAACAGTCCAGTGTTTTCTTGAAACCCCCGGGAGGCATGCTGTTCCATTAATCAATCATTCTCACTGCCAGGAAATTCCTTATTTCTAGCTTGTATGCTTTGATGTTCCATTAAAATACGGTCAACTGGTTTGTGACTTGGGACACAAAACAGTCATTTTTCATCTTGTATTTTATGACTAGCTAACTGCAGCTTCTTGAAAGCTGCGAGCCAGATCTGTGACTGACTGCACTGCACCTGGCATTTAACGGGAAGAAAAGTTGATTCCTTCCTTGATGCCCTCCAATTATGCTGAACTACAGTTCCTTAGAATTCCCAGGGAGCTGGCTGGAAATTATAGGACCTGAAATCCAACACATATACCTTGTTGATGATCCAAACTGTCAAGGATCTTGGAGTTCTCATCTCTAATGATCTAAGTGCTAGAGCCCACTGTAACTACATAGCCAAGAAGGCATTAAGAGTTGTTAACCTAATCCTAAGTAGCTTTTTCTCTGGTAATATCACACTACTAACAAGAGCATACAAAACATTTGCTAGACCAATACTTGAATACAGCTCATCAGTCTGGAACCCGTATTATGTATCTAATATTAACACAGTTGAGAAAGTCCAGAAATATTTCACAAGAAGAGTTCTCCATTCCTCTACTCGTTGCAGAATACCTTATGCCACCAAGACTTGAGATTCTAGACCTAGAAAACCTAGAACTACGACACCTTCGATCCGATCTAAGTATAGTATATAAAATCATACATTGCAATGCCCTACCTGTCAATGAATACTTCAGCTTCAACCATAACAACACAAGAGCACACAATAGATACAAACTCAAGGTAAACCATACCAAACTTGATTGCAGGAAATACGACTTCAGCAACAGAGTGGTCAATGTCTGGAATACTCTACCTGACTCTGTGGTTTCTTTCCCAAAGCCCCAAAACTTTAACCTTAGACTGTCTACTATTGACCTCACCCCTTTCCTAAGAGGTCTGTTGGGGCGTGCATAAGCACACCAATGTGCCTACCGTCCCTGTCTTATTGTTTCTTTTTTTATTTTTCTTATATGTATCCATTTCATGTATCCATAACTATGTTTATACTTATACCTGTTATCTTATAATTGCTTGACAAAATACATAAATAAACAAACAAACATGGAGCGAGCTGGGTTGTGTGAGGAATTCTATCGTAGGGGTCTCCAACCTTGGCAATTTGAAGACTTATGGACTTCAACTCCCAGAATCCCTTAGTCAACAAAGCTGGCTGAGGAATTCTGGGAGTCGAAGTCCACAAGTATTCAAGTTGGCAAGGTTGGAGACCCCTACTCTAGAGAGTACTTAGAGGGACTCCGGCCCTTCAAACTCACAGAATTCCTGAGCCAGCCGTTCAAAGCGGCACAGTTCCTCATCTCTGACTTAGATGCCAATTGTGCCCACCGCTCTAATATTTCTAATTGCATTTCCACCGTTGCTAGAGGGCATTCTTGTCACTGTTATCGGACCATATCCCGAAATAACGAGTTTGCCCCCATCGAGAAATGATCCCATTTAAATTTTGTTGGTGATCGCGTGCACTTTTGCAAGGCGACGAAACACCGGCAAAGGCGAACCTCCCGCTCTGCCTCGATTGGGGGCGAGGGAGGAACGAGTGTGCGTCACTTCCTGTTTAGTTCCGGGGTCGGCCAATTACACGTCAGCTAATTCAACGCCTAATCCTTTCTTTGGTGACAGGTGACGCCCGCCTTTTCCGGCCCCGTTGGGAGCCGCTCGTTCCGCAATATGGTGAGTTCCCAGTCTTGGGGGCGGGCGGTTGAGGGCCTCGGACGCTGCGTGGCGAGTTGGTGTCCAACGTGGTGCAACCGTGAGAGGATGCTAGGAGGGGGACATTGACCGGCTTGCCAGTTCTGAAGGAGGCAACTTCCCTGAAGCAGGGACAGGTGGCTGTCAAGGCTGGAGAATACCTTTCCAATGGGAAGAGTCCAAGCCTTTTCTGCGCAGAAAGCTCCAAGTGCGTGTAGAAGGCACTTTGTTAATCTCTGCTGCACTGGGAGTCCTGCTTCATTTTAAAAGCGAAAATGTGGCTGGGTTGTAACTCGATGTGTCCGATGCGTGGGGTTTCCCTGAGAAGAGGTGTGGTGCAATGGCTGGAAGGATAGCTTGGCTCATCAAACTAGATAGCGTAGAAGCGTTGTTTAATTAGGAATTTGATCAATAAGTAATCATAAATAGTTGTTTTTAGTCACATGTCATGAAAAAGGTATACTTGCTTCCCTTTAGCCTCTTACACTATAATATATCCTTCAATGGAAGAGTAAAAGTATAGTTTACTAATGAACAAATAACCACCCAACAATTAGCTTCTGGGTGGATTGGGTTCAGATCTTTTTAAATCCATAAACATCCTAAAGTACCCATAAGGTGTCTGCTCTCAGCCTAAGAAATATTATGGTGATCATAAAACCGCCTAAGACTCTTCAGGTTCTTAATAAGGTAAAAATGCAATGAGTGAATATTTTAAAGCTAGTCGGTAATACAGTGGATATGGAAAGTCTACACAGCTCTGTTAAAATGCCAGGTTTTTGAGATATAAAAAACAGAACAAGATAAATCATTTCAGATTTTTCCCACTTTTAGTGTGACATGTTAGTGTACAATTTAATTGAAAATCAAAATGTAATCTTTTGGGAAGGGGGTAGAAATAAAAAATTACAATAATGTGGATTACATAAAGATCCATATCCTTAAACTTTGTTGAAGCTTCTTTTGATTTTATGACAGCAATCAGTCTTTTGGGATAGGGGCCTATCATCATGGCACATCTTTCCTTGGGAAACTTTGCCCATCCTTCCCTTTCAAAAGCGCTCCAGATCTGTCAGATTGCAAGAACATCTCCTGTGCACAGCTAGCATGGAGATAATGTTTATTGTGATAGATTGCATGTAGAAATCAAGTTCATGATTTGGAATGTTAAACAAATAGAAAATTTAGTAAACCATTGCTATCTTGTTTGTAGGGAACAATATATTTGTTTCGCAAATCACAGAGGTCTCTTCTGGGCAAGTTAACACAGGAATTTAGAACAGTAGCTGCTGATCGAAGGGTAAGTATTTTCATTTACTGGCAAGAATATATTTTAATTCATAGATACTTATTTTTTAAAGATTCTTAAACATGTATACAGAATCAGTACTCGAATTTGTTCCTCAATCACTTTTAACCTATTTCATTTCCCAATTGCTATCCTATACTTATATTTGTTTCTTTGTTACTGTTAAACTTCTTTATTTATTCATGTAAATTGCATAACTTCTATATTATGAGATGCATCTAACATCCCAGGGCAGTAACTATATTGATTTCTACTATATAGTGCAATATTAATGCAATATTGGGTTTTCAATTCAATTGTATAGAACAGTGGTGGCTAACCTTTTTGGGGTCCTGTGCCGATAATTGCGCAAGTGCTTGTGCGCTCATGCTCGTGTGCCATCACCCAGAAGGCAATGTGTATGCCCCCTTGCCCCCGCGCATGCGTGCATAACATATGCGACTGTGCTGCGTGCTGTGCATGCACGTGTCTCCCATGCACCACCATGCATGCATGCCAGATACCCAACAATCAGCTGTTGGGTGGGTAGCGCACGCGCATGCAGAGTAGACTTTTTCTGGGCGAGGGCTCGTGTGCCGGCAGTAATGGGTCTGTGTGCCACTTCCGGCATGTGGACCATAGGTTTGCCACCACGGATATAGAATGTGAAGGATGTATGTTTGTCTTTTATTTTTATAGTTCTAATCTACACTGAAGATGACATTTAATTTTGTTGTACGAGGTGCAATGACAAGTAAACTAAACTGGAACTAATAATAACATACTGTTATTATTAAGCAATATTGTAGGATAGAGAAATTGAAATATGCTTAATATTTATAAGAAAGCCTTTGATGTGGAAGTCGATTTTGGCTGATGGAAGCATGTTGAGATTTTATTCTTTTTATTTTCTGGAATTTTCTAATAGAATTTAATTGAGTTTTCATTGTGTTACATAATATTTTATAGTTATTCCTTTTAGCCCTGTTGAATGTCATGTGCTGATGAGAAGTAGAATGTCAGTCTGGCAAATAAACAAATGGGGAAATGTTCCACTTGGTATTTTCTTTATTAGTTGTGAATATCTGAGACTTAGCTTTTTCTACCTGTTATATCTATTAATTTATCTAAATCTGTGTATTTTTGACTTTTCCTTGTTAATAGTGCAGCTGTCAACGTGCATTCATTTTATTTTTATTGAGTTTGATTAACAAATGGTATTCTGGGCCAAGGAACTCTGGGTAATGCTGAAGAGAAAAAGCTGTTGAACTTAGTTGTACAGGTAGTCCTTGATTCATTCATTTAATGACCGTTCGAAGCTATAACAGCATTTTAAAAAGTGACTTACAACCAGTCCTCGCACTTATAACCATCTCAGCATCCATACGGTCACAAGATCAAAGTTTAAGTGCTTGGCAACTGGTATGTATTTGCCATAGTTGCAGTGTTCTAAAGTAATTTGATTTCCAATTATTCCTAGTGGGCTTCCAGCAGAGGTGGTATTCAGTATGTTCAGACCAGTTCTGGAGAACCGGTAGCGGGAATTTTGAGTAGTTCAGAGAACTGGCAGTTACCACCTCTGACCAGGGATTTTACAGTATACTTCCCCTGCCACGCCCACCAAGCCACGCCCACAGAACCGGTAGTAAAAAAATTTGAATCCCACCATTGGCTTCCAGCAATCTAAGTCAATGGGGAAAGCTAGATTCACTCAACTGTAGTGATTCAGTTAACTGTGGCAAAAAAAGGTTGTAAAATCGGGCACAACTCACTTAACAATCACCTTGCTTAGCAAGAGAAATTCTGGTTCCAATAATCATAAACCAAGGACTACCTGTTGGTCAGTAAATCACAAGTTGAAAAATTATGAATACATTGATCTGACACTATGCTGTGGCATTCTTTCTTCAGCAGAGACTAAAGCCATGAAGCACCTGAGCTGAATGTTCAATATTTTATCAGTAAATTATAGGGTTTCCCCCCCCCCCCAATAAAACCAACTTTATTAAACTTGTTTCAACTGTTGTTATTTACAGTCATGGAAGATCTTGCTGTTTGGTGCAATAAATATAGTATGTACTGCATTCCTGCTTATGTGGTGTAGTTCTACAAACAGCATAGGTATGTTATCCTTCTTTTAATGAGATGATTGTAGACATACACAAGTAGTTTAATATTGACACAAAATTGTATTTGTGAGCATCATTGATTGCTAGCATTTTTTTTCTGTTTCTAAAGTCATTCTTGTTATTTCTCTCTCCCTTGATGACTTCTTTATTCAAACTATGAAAGGATATTAAGATGAATCAAAATTAATTCTACTAAATGTGAAACTTTGCTTACACTTATTAATAGATAATTCTATTAGTTGGATGCACATGCTTTATGATGACATTGTGCTAAATGTCTAAGAAATGAAACAGCTATTGCAAGTACAGATAGTCCTTGTATTATGACTGCAATTTGGAACTAGAATTTCCATCTGTAAATGATGTGTTTGTAAAACACAATGGGATTTATGCCTGCATTGCTTAGCGACAGCAATCCCTGCAGTCTCAATTGCCATTGTTAAGTCAGGATCATGGATCATTAAATGAACACCTTCTCACAAAATCCTGCTGGTTTCTAATAACCAGTCAGTGTAAAAGCTGGCAGGAAATTGCAATACCTAGATGGCTTGCAAACAGGTTGGCAAGCAGGAAGGGGCTGCTGATGGGTGGGTATAGATGCATGAATGACCAGAGAAACAAGACACAAATGCAGTGAGGCTTGGAAGGTGCAGGTGGCCCACAAATTCTGTTCTCGTAATTATGGAAAGCTGCAACTATCACTGGTTGCCAAATGTCCAGTTTGTGATGACATAACAATGGGGGTACTGGAAGGGTTGGAACTTTGAAGACCAGTCAGAAGCACCACTTGTTCAGCACAGTCATAACTTTGAACAGTCACGGAATGAGGGATCCTTAACCAAGGGCTACCTATATATTAGACTGTCTATGTTATTCTTAAGTTATGATCTTTAGTGCTCCTTGTTATTGCTTTTGGTCTGGAGATTCAGGATATATAGACTGATTTGCAGCTTTAAAGTTTTTATTTTCACTTTCTATATGAAACTCTCCATATAATGACTCCCATCACATACCCAGATATACCCATCCAACTCAATGTCTTGTTTGTTTTGGTGGGGATGGGGATAAAACATTGAAGGAAGCTACAGATAGGAGTAGCAGTGTGTGAGGCAGTCATGTTTTTGATTAATATTGTATACGTTCATGACTGAAGATTGGTCTACATTTTTATTTGCATAGTACATGGATAATTTTAAAATTGCCATACCCAATTGTTTTGAGACCACAATTTTTATTTCTTCAGAGAGAGAGGTTATATGCTAATGATCTTGAGTGTGTCTGGAGGTACTGATGCTGACTCTTCCCATCACTGTTATGTGATCTTTATTTATCATATTTAGAAATTGTTCATCTCCCTCATGGAAGGACTATGGGCAGTATACAAATAAAATATTAAAAACATAGAGTGTTAAAAACCTGAAAATAAAAACTTACAATAGTTAAAAACCTACTAAAATATTGAACTCATTTCTCTAAGGAAATGTGGCAGTTGGTAGACAAATGTTTTCCCACTCCTGCTCTAGGCATTGATCTAAAGGGTGAAAATGTAAGAGATATGCTCTTCTGCTCTCAAGGATCTATTTTGTAACAGTCTGCTTCCTCCCTTAATTGTCTTGCTGTCTGCTCTGTGTTGCTAAGGTTTCCCACAATAGTTTCCCACAATAGGCCTTGGGTTGTCTTAAGAACTTCCTTACAGTTATGACTCTGCCAAACAATGTAACACTTGCATAATCACTTTAACACCTCCATTTTATGCAAGGAACAATGTACCCTTCACCAAAAACCAATGAATCTCCAAAGGGTGACAATCTGCTACTCATATATTTTATTTCTTTTCCTTAACTCCTTTAGTCCTCATTCCTCCATCTCCACAGCACATACAAAACTTCTGAAATCCTAACAGTAAATCCACCAACTCCTCTGTTGAATATCCACTAGTATGCCATTCTCAATAACACGTGCAAACTCCCACAGAAAATTCACAAAAAGCCTCCAAACCCTGATCGATGCCACCATACCAAAAAAAAAAAAAAAAGTCCCAGAGGCCTAAACAATTTCCTTGACAAACTTTGTGGGTTTTTTTGGGGGGGTAGATGCATATTTATTACATAGGAAATTGAATAAAGCCCAACAATTATTTATTAAAAGCAACAGTACATTTACTTATTTATACAGTACATTTACTTACTTATAGGCAGGTTAACTAAATTATTTTCATCATTTGTTTATGTGAAAGTAAAATGGCCATCTTCTTTCCACAGCTTTAACTGCATATACCTATCTAACAATCTTTGATCTTTTCAGGTATGTTTCCTTTTTAAATTCCTCAATTGATTTTGTAACACTTGTGAAAAAAATATCCTTTTATCCAAATCCATGGGTTATGTTAAAAAAATTTTTAATATTCCCCAATAAAGCCTGTTTCTCTTAGTAGGTAAGATGCAGTCCAATTTTTATCCATTTAAAATTAAGGCCAATGGAATTAAGTGGATTCGATTGCCAGATATGTGATAGAGGATTGTAGCCTAACTGACTTTTCATTGCATAGGAGATAAGTCCATAAAAACAGATCCCATTGTTTTCTTATGTCACATACAGTACAGAAATAGACATTTTTCAAAGTTCTGCAATCAAAGGAGATTTAAGTGTGCTTAAGTCCCATTATGACAGCAGTATATTTTGTCTTTAATTCCACTTTTGTTTTCTATGCAACTTGGTGGTAAAAACTATTTGCTTTTTAAATGAATGACAAGCCTTTAAATATCCCTGTCAGCCCCTTAACGTTAGTGTAAGCCAGGTCAGAAAACAACTGAATATCTACTGGTTCTAGAAGCCCCTGGAACTCTACTATATTACTGTAAAGAATAATATCAGAATCTTTGGTCTGTCATATACCAAAGAGAGTCAAAGTGGGGTGATCTTGAAATTCATTTTCACCCCCTCCTCTTTCTCAGGACTGAGTTGGTGTTTACATAAACACTCCTGCTTTTTCAAGATTAACTCCATACTCCCCTACATTAACTGAGATTGCAGTACTCTTATACAAAAGTAAGTCTGTCAACACAATGGAATTTAATTCTGACTATATATAGGGTATTGGTATTACCACTGTATTAATTGATTTAAGGAGACAGTTGAACAGAAAATCTGCCACAACCTGAAGGAAAGCACCCAATTTGCGGACTTTAGATACAAGAGGCAATTTTTTTTTATCAGGGCATCATTTGAACTTAATGAAGCGTGTCCATTGTTTTTGAAACAGTATAGACAGTTTTCATCAGTTTTCATCAGTTTGCATCATTTATATATTTAATGTGAATTACATAAATTTGGATTAAATAAAGATTCATATTTCATATACTGATCTCCCCTTCAGCAGGCTGTTAAAGGATTTATTTTATTATTGGCAATTCATCAATATGTTAAATTATAATTGAATTTTGAAATGCTAGATTTATTTTATATAATTTTTAATACCTACATTTCTCTTATTTTAATTTTTGTTTCCTTTTTTATTTAGCTTAATAACATGCTTAATAAGTTATTGGGTGATGATGAAGAAGCCCAGTTCCTCATATTCATTTGGGTAAGTTGGATAATTAATATTTTGTGTCTTTTGAAAATATTATTTTACTATGAAATAAAAGTGTTATTAATTTATTAGTTCAATTTTATTTATAAAGAGATTTTATAAATTCAAGAAAATTGTAATATGCACATTAAAAGAGCATTATATCTAATGTTTAATACTGTACTGATTTGTGCCCAAGAAATTAGAGGGTACTAATTTGAAATATGCATATTATATTCATTCGATCAAATACGATACTACCAGCCTTAGAAACCCCAGTCCATGGTTGATAAAACAGATCAGGCGTCTATGCAGTTTTATGAAGACTCTGGGACCCTTATATAGTTTTACTCTCTTTATGGAAGTAAATCTTTCTTGTCATATAAGGGGAAAAGTGCATTTTTAAATTTGCAAGAATGGAAATTTCAATGTACGGCTCTCACTAGATGTGTTTAATGTAATCTGTATTTTTCAAATCTCTGATGCCTTGGAGTTCAAACTCTGTAGCTAAATAAAGCTGTAATATGCACATTTTTGTTTCATTTAGGAATAGTAAAACTGGGCTATTGTTTCCTTTTAGAGCCATTATCTTTTATCAGTCATGTAAGATTTTTATAACCTGCTCTTGTCATACAAATGTATTATCCAAGCTACTTATATGAATTAAATTTACATTATAAAATATAGCAAAAATAACAACAATATAAATACCAAATTGCAACAAACAAAAGAAGTATGTCCATACTGCTGCTGAGATAACTATAGGACATCTTTGTGAAGTCCCCAGGAGAGGAGATAAACCTGTTAACACTTTGTCTCTTATTCAGGCTTTGCAAATTAATTATGAACGGTTAGCAGAGAATACATAATTTTTCATCAACATCAGTAACATAAAATAATCCTATCTGCCACAAAGTTAAAATTAAGCTATCTACACTTTAGGATGCCCAATCTGTTTTTTTTTTTAATTCCATGTAAAATCAGAACTGTTCATGAATGGTGCTCCCCAACAATGACACCCTTATTGCTAGGTGGCATGAATTAAAACATAGAACTTAATAGAACAGAATAATTCCAAAATACATGGAAATTATCCAGTTTCCCAACTTATCTGGCCTTCCCTTAACCTGCCACTAATTTTTAAAACGTTTTAATAAAAAGAAAATAACAGCAAAAGTAAACAGCACATGTTAATTTTCTAGCATACTTTCTTGTACCCACCTCAATTAATGCATTATACTTTCTGATTAATAGTCTTTATTATTTGCACTGATTTTTAAATTCTTAATTTCCCAAACTGCAGATTTGAGAGATTTGAAGTCCTAGCAGTATTTGCTTCTACAGTTCTTGCACAACTTGGAGCACTTTTTATACTTAAAGAAAGGTAGGAATGCCCCCTCCTTGTGCTTATTACTTAATCATTGTCAAAGATAACAGTATTTCCAGTGCTAGAACACTTAAAAAAAAGCTGCTACAAAAGATAGTATGATGTTTTATCCACAGCAAACCTCAAATTCTTGTTGGTGCATGAAGGACTATATATTTGACTAACAGATTTATTGTGTCTTTTCAGTGCTGAACGATTTGTTGAACAACCAGAGATTCATACGTAAGCATTTTAAATTAAATCATAATAAAGATTACAAGTATATAAAAGTTGGCATAATTAATAGGGCCATTAGTACATTATTTTATCTGTTAAAGCTGAAAACTGAAACTGAAATGCTGTCATGACTTTTAGGTCAGTGGCAAAAATCCTCTTGAATTTGTTGATCTGGGATACTTGCTTAATATAAATGGTTTTTATATAGAGATAGCTAAGTTTAAGTCATACATGCAATGAATTGGGCAGAAGTCTTTAAAAGGTTATGTCTGATATATATTAAATAATAAAAGCTTAAATTTAATGCACATGTAGCCCTTGTTATCTGTAATTTCATCATGGTTTTGGGTTCCATGTCTACTAAAAGAAATGTAAATTTTTTGTTTTAGATTTTGTCTAAAGGTTGTGAGGGAAGGTTGTGAGGGAAGAATGGGAGGCAACTTGCTAAATTTGAATCCTAGCAAGACACAGTTACTGTTTGTCCATTGAAGTTCTCTGGAAGCTCTAGTATATCTCTTGATGAGGAACCATTTCCTTTGAAAGGCACCACGACTCATAAATTGAGCTCTTACTTAAGCAGCAAGTAAAAACCACAGATGGTGGAACCTTTGGCCAACTTCAGCTAGCATGCCGCTTGGAGCTCTATCTGAGGCAAGAGAATCTTGCTACAGTGATTCATGCCATTATTCCCATTTATTTAGATTACTGCAACACACTTTATGTGGGGTTGCCTTTAAAGACAATTTGGAAGCTTCAGCTGGCCAAAATTGCAGTGGCCTGTGTACTGTTTTACATTTGCCAGTGGGACTATATTACATCTGTGCTAGAGATCTTGCATTGCCTTCCTATCAGGTTGTTATTGCAATTTAAAGTATTGATGTTAACATAGAAAGACCCCTATGACTTGGCACTAAGTTACATTCTGGTTCGCCCACTAGAATGGAGTTTTCTTGTTTAGTCTTAAGAATTCCATCAGTAAGTGCTTCCCCATTTAGTGCTGGGGTAAAAGGCTAAGATGCTGCTTTTCCACTAAAGTGTCACCCTCTCTAGAATGGCCTCCCACTGTCATGTAGGCTGATCCCCAAATTTGGCTGCCATCCAGAAGCACTTGAAAAATGATCTCTCCTGAAGGGCTATTGAAACTTGAGGTCTAGTTTTTGGGTTCTATATTTTTTTATAAGTTTCAGGGTTTTTATGATTGTAACCATGGATGTTTTTTAATTTATTAATTTGTTGTTGTTTTTGTTTATTGTATATGCCGTCCATCTCATTCAGCGACTCTAGGTGGCTTACAGCATAATAAAAAGATAACACAAAACAATAATTAAGGTAGATTAAAGACTAAAAACCATCAGAACATGTTGACATGGGGTTGGACATCTCTCTATTAAAGGCTCATGCATTCCCATAAAACTTCTGAAAGTCCTGTACAGCAGCACAGAAATTTAATAAGTTTATCAGCTAATAAGTTCTCTATTCACATAAGAGTTGTATATAATTAAATGGAATTAGGTAAACTTTTTTTAAAAAAATACTGTAATTAAATGGAGCCTAATGGTAATGAAGATTAATTAACATACCTGCTCTTTGTATCTGATAATATGCTATGTTGATAAAGATTTTTTTTTTAGGGGTCGATTGCTGGTTGGTACCTTTGTGGCACTCACTTTCAACTTGTTTACAATGCTTTCAGTTAAGAACAAACCATTTGCTTATGTGTCTGAAGGTACATAATACATTTTTTGAAAAGAAAATGTATATTTTAATTTAATAAAAGCTAAAAAATGATATATTAATTAGTAGCCAAATGTTATTTGTTGTTGTCACCAAACCCACAGCTTCCATCCCTTAAATCTTTGATAATACTCAGAAGGACTAAGAAGAAACTAGACGTATAGCAAAGTCTTCCTCATTTTCAACACCTTAGAAAATGTGAAAATGGGTAACAATATTTCCTATTTGAAACAATTTCTGCTTTTATGTTCCCAAACTGCTTTGCAGTTGCTAACTCCCTGACTGGGGATCTCTGCACTGCTGGATTTTTCCTTTTGAGGATCTTGATTTTGATGATTCCAGATTCACATAAAAAACGCAGATATGTTTATGCTGAACTACGCAAATGACTTTGTATTTCTACATCTGCATATTTGAAATGTTAGAGAGTTGCAAGATATGGACAGGCCTGCAAGACCTGTACCCAAATGCTTGCTGATTCTGAGAGAGAGAAAATACAACAAGAGGAAGTATAAGTAGTCCTTGACTTATGATCACAATTTCAGTTGTTAAGCATTGAAGTTGCTAAGTGAGTCGCAGCCAACTTTATCACCTTTTCTGCCATGATTATTAAGCGAATCACTGTAGTTGTTAAGGAACCCAGCTTTCCCCATGGATTTGCTTCTCAGAAGCCAGCTGGGAAGATGGCATGTAGCGATCACATGACACCAGGATGCTGTAACCATTGTAAATACACTGCTCAAAAAAATAAAGGGAACACAAAAATAAGACATCTAGATCTGAATGAATGAAATATTCTTATTAAATACTTTGTTCATTAGGTAGTTGAATGTGCTGACAACAAAATCACACAAAAATTATCAATGGAAATCAAATTTAGCAACCCATGGAGGTCTGGATTTGGAGCTACACTCAATTAAAGTGGAAAAAAACACTACAGACTGATCCAACTTTGATGTAATGTCCTTAAAACAAGTCAAAATGAGGCTCAGTAGTGTGTGTGGCCTCCATGTGCCTGTATGACCTCCCTACAACGCCTGGGCATGCTCCTGATGAGGTGGCGGATGGTCTCCTGAGGGATCTCCTCCCACACCTGGACTAAAGCATCCCCCAACTCCTGGACAGTCTGTGGTGCAATGTGGCATTGGTGGATGGAGTGAGACTTGATGTCCCAGATGTGCTCAATTGGATTGAGGTCTGGGGAATGGGCGGGCCAGTCCATAGCATCAATGCCTTCAACTTGCAGGAACTGCTGACACACTCCAGCCACATGAGGTCTAGCATTGTCGTGCATTAGGAGGAACCCAGGGCCAACTGCACCAGCATATGGTCTCACAAGGGGTCTGAGGATCTCATCTCAGTACCTAATGGCAGTCAGGCTACCTCTGGCGAGCACATGGAGGGCTGTGCGGCCCCCTAAAGAAATGCCACCCCACACCATTACTGACCCACTGCCAAACTGGTCATGCTGGAGGATGTTGCAGGCAGCAGAACATTGTCCACGGTGTCTCCAGACCCTGTCACGTCTGTCACATGTGCTCAGTGTGAACCTGCTTTCATCTGTGAAGAGCACAGGGCGCCAGTGGCGAATTTGCCAATCTTGGTGTTCTCTGGCAAATGCCAAATGTCCTGCACGGTGTTGGGCTGTAAGCACAACCCAAACCTGTGGACGTTGGGCCGTCATACCACCCTCATGGAGTCTGTTTCTGACCGTTTGAGCAGCCACATGCACATTTGTGGCCTTCGGGAGGTCATTTTGCAGGGCTCTGGCAGTGCTCCTCCTGTCCCTCCTTGCACAAAGGCGGAGGTAGCGGTCCTGATGCTGGGTTGTTGCCCTCCTACGGCCTCCTCCACGTCTCCTGATGTACTGGCCTGTCTCCTGGTAGCGCCTCCATGCTCTGGACACTACACTGACAGACACAGCAAACCTTCTTGCCACAGCTTGCATTGATGTGCCATCCTGGATGAGCTGCACTACCTGAGCCACTTGTGTGGGTTGTAGACTCTGTCTCATGCTACCACTAGAGTGAAAGCACTGCCGGCATTCAAGAGTGACCAAACCATCAGCCAGAAAGCATAGGAACTGAGAAGTGGTCTGTGGTCACCACCTGCAGAACCACTCCTTTATTGGGGATGTCTTGCTAACTGCCTATGCTTTCCACCTGTTGTCTATTCCATTTGCACAACAGCATATGAAATTGATTGTCAATCAGTGTTGCTACCTAAGTGGACAGTTTGATTTCACAGAAGTGTGATTGACTTGGAGTTACATTGTGTTGTTTAAGTGTTCCCTCTATTTTTTTGAGCAGTGTATGTGCGGGTTGCCAAGTGCCTGAATTTAATCGTGTGACCATTGGGGATGCTGCAACGTTACTAAGTGCAAGGATTGATCATAAGTCACTTTTCAGTGCTGTTATAACTTCAAACATTTGCTAAATGAATGGCTGTAGGTCTAGGACTACCTGTAATTTTGGCTTGTTTCCCAAATCAGTTTAATCTTCTTTCAGTCCTTAGTGCAATTCATGCAAATTCTTTACAAGAAAAAAAAATCTAGAACACTTAGGGAGCCTCATGTGTCCTTTCATGTCTCATCCCAAATTCTTTCTGACCTAAGGATGCTCTATTAAAATTCTTCAGGTCTTGTATTTAATTGTAATGTAACTCTAATGTGTGATTTGGGTGGCAGCTTAGTCTTGCAATATCTGCAAATAATCTTTGACTTCAAGTTCTAATAATCTTATTGAATTATTCTTGTGATTTTTGTTAGTAGTATTTTGAAAATATAATAACCATGCTGGCATTATAATTGAATAAAGTAATTTATGTCTTTGTTTTAATGCAGTTTGACCATAATATAAAATTGTGCTTTCAATTAGTAGAATAATATATTATTTTTATTTACTTTTAGGCTGATTTTAAAGGTAGAACTTCCTTTAAATATACACTGTAGTAAAACAGTAATCAGAAAAGGAATTCAATTTACACAGCACTGCAGGAATACATTTTTTTAAAAAAAGTCAGTGAATACTTAGAGGGTTGTTGGCTTTTTTTTATGGCGAGGAGATAACATGTTAGTGAAGTAAAATTTTCAGATAGATAAACTTTTGTCCTACAGTTGAACTTGATACATATTTGAGCAGGATTATATTAAAACAATGAACAATTACACTTCTCTCTGCAGCTGCAAGTACAAGTTGGCTTCAGGAACATGTTGCAGATCTCACTAGGAGGTAAGTTAGAAAGGAAGACATTCTAAAAGAGAATGTGCTGTCTTCTTTGGACTGATGGGTTGAAGCTACTCACTGTTTTTATCTTCTAAGAATGCTTATTGGTGTTCTTAAGCCATTGTGAATATGTATATATTCATATGTGAATATGATGCTAGAGGGTGATACTTACTTTGAAGCATGTCAGCTGGTCCAACCCCCCCACCCCCCACCCCCCATATTTGTAAAAATGAATTCCTAAGCAGAGACCATATTTAGAAGGTAAAACATCTCTATCTGCATTTGCACTTAATATTAGTTTGGAAACCTAAAGTGCTTCCATAATCAATTGTTCTTAGTACCTGTATTAGCTTGGTCTTTGAAAGAGAGAGTTTCTAGTATGGGTTTTAAACAATAATAAATTTAAAACACTCAGAAAAAAGCAAAAACATTTTTTTAAAAATAGTTCTTTTTTATGCTAAATCCCTGTAGCTCCCTGAAAATATCTGGAAATTTCTGTTTCGTAGCAACTTTGTGCTAATGGCATAGAAGAGACAATGAGACTAGGAGTCCAAGTTCTTGGGTGTGGACCACTGTGCCATTCTTTTGATTTGTTGCCATCGCCATATATATATTGTTTGGGAGTTATAGTGGAAATTTGATCTGTTGAAATTGCATCTTCCTGTCTTTTTTGTTCATAATCACTTTCTCACAGAAGGGCGTTGGTTTCTATTTTTAAATTATGTTTGTTTTTCCTTTAGGTGAATGGCCAGATAATTTGTGTTGAATACAAAAAAGGTTGACAAATTGCTATAATCAAAGTCACAGTTCAAGAATATGAAAATAATTGAGTTTGCTAAAAGAATTTGAGATTAAATTTTGTTCTTTTGCTGGAAGATGGCAATTTCACCCATTTATGAGTTAATATAAAAGTCTTAAGTGGTAAAAACATTCTTAATGTTCAGATAGGATTATATAGGTGAAGATTGTCTTTTAGATAACCTGACATAAATTGGACACAGATTTAATGATTAATACAAATCTTAGTTGCAGTTGGTAAGATGCTAATAGCAATAGACCAATAGATCAAACTGTTTAATATTGGAATGTTATATACAGAGTACTAAAAAAAATTCTGGAATAAGACAATGGGGGAAAAAAACACTTTTGGTGGCCAGAAAAAAATGCATTGATATACACCTGTAGTGATGAGGAATTGAATTTGATTATATGGATTCAAACTTTTTTTTTCTTTGCTCTAGATTGTCTTCTCTTCCAACAACATTTTAAAATTTCAGATGAAGATTTTTATTATTTGTTTTTCCCCCCCATCATAGTTATCCCATTGGTATATTTCAAAGAGCAACTGTAAGAGCTACTGCCATATGGGTAATAAGAGTGTGCTACCTCTTGGCTTTCTTCACTAATTGATATTATTTATTGTTACTTGTAGCTTGTGCGGTATCATTCCTGGGCTGAGTAGCATCTTTCTTCCACGTATGAATCCATTCATCTTGATTGATCTTGCTGGGGCTTTAGCTCTTTGTATTACATACATGTTAATCGAAATTAAGTAAGTGCTGTTGGATGGAATGATAATATTTAATAGGCATTTGATACTGAAAACATGAGTGCCTATAATGTTATATTTTTCTCTTTCAGTAATTATTTTGCAGTTGATACAGCTTCTGCAGTGGCTATTGCTTTGATGACATTTGGTACCATGTATCCTATGAGTGTCTACAGTGGAAAGGTATTGCTTCAGGTGAGACAAGGAATTAAGACCTTTGTATTAGCAGTGAGAGAGTAGCCAAAAAAGCGACATTACTTACTGAGGTCAGCAAAACATTCACTATAATTCATTCTGAAAAAAAGTAAGTTAAAGTTAAAGTTAAAGTTATTCTTTAATGACAGTTCTGGCATCAAAGAACTTGCTTTATGAACCCTTCCTTGACCATTTGTTATTTAAAAATAGATGTTAAGAGCAATCTTACCCTTTATTCCAGCAACCACGAAATAGCTTTCTTTGTCCAACATAACTTCTAACTTTACATATTTATCAATTTATCAATTTATTATCATATCTTCAGGGCTTGGTAGATCATAGTAATACGGATAAAAGTTTTGTGGCTTTCTGTAGCTGTTAGTGTAGAATTGGTTAATTAAATTAACTGGAAAGTTAACTTGTATATCCTTTGCAAGATTGGAATGGAAGATTTTCCTAGTAAGAAGAGCTGGGGTTAGTTGATAGGAGAAAAAAGAAAGATAGTAGGCAGGGATGGCTCTCTTCAGAAGAGAGGTTGATTCATCTGTCTTCTGAGGGAAGAGACAGTAAGGTTAGTTATTTTACAATGGACTCTCTGATTACCTAAATCGTTGTGCTTATTTGTACTATAGGTTGCATCTGTACAATTTGTTCGCTCAGTTTATTCTCAATAGATAGCTTAGATTAATATCAACTTATATTAATTAGAATGATTAGAATGTCTGTGCCCAGGCTAATCTGCTTCTTGGGAGCTTATCCTTTAATTACATCACTTTGTCTTGTTATCTGCTTGTCCTGCAGTAATTACATTCTTGAACATTAGAAAAGGATTGTCCAGACTCAAAGATTGGGGGAAGGCTAATTTCCAACTATAATAAACGATGTCAACTCATCCTAGAACAGGAAACTGGGTACCCTGTCAGGGTACTCTTTAGAAATGTTGGATGGCAACTGGCATCAGAAAGGGCCTAGGGTTGTCAGGAAGCTAAAAGAATGGGTGAACTATGAGATAGAATGGATAGGGTTTACCGGAGATGCCAATAACAAAAATGGCTACATCTCGGAGGAAGAAGGCGGAGCCTCCTCACTGACGGACCGTAGATCGCGACTCTCTGTGGCTATGGTCCGTGCTCTTTCGTTGGAGAGCCCTGATCATTATGATTAGGGGCTGAAGCTGCCTTGGAGGGGCAGTGGAGTAAGGGGAAGCTGCAAGCCAGGTTGAGGGGAGCCGCATCTCCCCCCTGGGCTTGGTCTTTTCCCCCCCGAAGATGACTGCAGTGGTGGTTTAAAATGGCCACCCCGAAGAGGAGGACTCAGCTGGATTAAGATTTGTGCAGGAGGTAAGAAAGAGGTGGATAACATCTGTACCGGGACAACTGGGCAATACAACTAAACAAAAGTACCCCGGGATTAAGGTAACATGGAATTTTTAAGAAAAGAAAAGTGAGCGGTGAAATTACAAAGGGACAGGGAAAAAAAAGAAAATATTTCTGACAGCTAAGCGGGGCTTTGAACCGGGAAAGGAAGAAGCTGGAACTAAAGATTTAACTAAATTAGACTAAAATATTTTGGGAATAAACAGGCATAAAATAAAGCTGGACTTAAGATTGTCAAAAAATAACAATAATAAAGTTTACAAATTGGAGACTGGACTGTGCTGGAATATTGAGGTTCGAAAAACCCTAAATAAAAAAATAGGGGGAAAAGGTGAAGACTTTGTATAATGGAGAGTGCCACCTTTTGACAAAAACTTGAGCTCAAACAGAAAGGGAAAGCATCCTGTTTCTGAATGAACTTGTGTGGATATAACATTAAAGAAATATTGAAACAAAGTAAGCATCTTAGAAAGTGAAAGCAGAACCAGAATAAAGAAAAAAGCAAGGAAAGACTGACTGTGAGATTGATTGATGTTTTTGGTATAGACCCTCGGCTAGAATAACTGAGAACTTTAGAAAATTGAAAGAAGAAAGAACGAAAGTAAAAGTGGTTTTTTGTGTGGACTTTAACAATCATAAAATATAAGAGTATGTAATGATGATATCTCTTTGGGAATTAAAAATGGAACTTAAAAATATGAGATAATTGCTACAGGAAAGAGGTGAATCACTTTGCTCTGTGTTAGAAAAAAATGGAAATGGCGATTGAAGAACAAGAAGAAAGAGCTTCAGAGGAGGAAGAGTCGATTCAAGGAGAAGACATTTTAAATAGACAATTAACACAAAGAACACTACAAAGTGGGGAAAGGAGGAAGGTTAAAAAGTTGAAATTTAAGAAGGCAATCAAAAAGGGGAATACCTGTGAAGTCAGGAAAGGCAGAAAGACCCAGCAGAAAAGGGGAAAGGAAGATATTAAGAAAGAGAGGGATATAAACTGGAATGAGAAAAGATATGGGAAAAGAGGGGGAGGAGAAGCAGTAAGAAAAAGGTGCATGAAATAAAGAAATACGGAAAGAGTAAAATGTTGAAAAATTGTTTTTTCAGAGATAATGGTTGATAAATTAAAAAGGGGATTCTGCAGGGTGACAAGGGGTAATAAGAATATTTCTGCAATTAAAAATATTTAGAAAATAGGGTAATATAGATACTGATAACTCTTATTAAAAATCAAGGGGGAAAAATATGCTGCGGAATCCAAATGAAAAGATGTAATGATTATTATTGTAACTTCTTAAAAATAATGGTTTATTGGGAATCAAGATGAGGAAATAAAGGTATATTTTAATCATTGAGGTGTCACACTCAAAACAGTAAAAGGGGGAAAACCTATACTTGGGGGTTTTTTTTTAGTGTTAAAATTTGTATTAATCTAGAATTTATAAAAAGAATGTGTAATGGAAAGGGAATATGACAGACTAAAGAACCAACTAAATTAATAAGTTAATATAGACTATTAAAAGCAAGGAGAGACATTGGTAACTTTTTATTATTATTATCATCATTATTATTAGGCAAACACATATTGTTTATCTTTATTTTTAAAATAAATATTAAAGGAGTATATTTGAAATAATTGAAATGAAACAAAAAGATATTTCGATTGAGATTAATGAAAGAGGCTAGAATTATTGTGTTTGTTTCTCTCCTTACTGAAAATTTGAAATGGAAAAGGTAATAATATAATTAAGTATGCATATATGAATGTATAATTGCTGTCATATTTGTATGTAAAGGTGATGACCCGGAAATATGTTGTCCACTAAAAAGAGATTTTTGTTTTTAATGTGAAAAATTTGTTTAAAAAAATGGCTAAATCTCTAGACAAATTAAATAGACAAATTGTGAAGGACTAACATTGTGGTTTAGTATGTCTGTGTTCAAATTCAGAAAGGATGCTGTTTATTTCACCCATTCAGCAAAACTTTTTAAAAATTGTATTTGAATAATGTGTCTTTTCTTTTCAGAAACATTCACATAATGTAGTCAGATGTATTCCTTGATACTGATTACTGATACTTTATCAGCGTCCTAATTACTAATCATTTATGTTGTGGCTGAATAAATTACATTATGAAATTGTAAACCTTTTTTTAGACAACACCGCCTCATGTGATTGGACAACTAGATAAACTTATACGAGAGGTAAGTTAATATAAAAAAGCCCTTCATAGTTTGGGGCCGTCTTCTATCAGCCAAGGAGTGTCAGCTGTGGGGAGCAGGAGACAGGCCTTCTCTGCATAGCCCTTGCCCTCTGGAATATTGTGATGACCTGGGGCGTGGCACAAAGGCAACACGGTCATATAAGTAAGAAAAGTCCCTTTAATACCCCCAACTTTGCCCCAATGTCCAGTTACCTTCAGCTGGAGAAAAAAATCTTTAAATAAAGGAAATTCAGTCCAAAAACAAAGTATATATAAATTGTAAATAAAAATCCACACAAACCACACTGCAGCAATTAACTGGACAAGGCAGGATAAGGAATTGCAGACTTCAAAGGCCAACAAAACACAGTTGGGAAGACGCTAGGACCCTAAATAAGCCTCGACAAAACAAGATAATGCACAAGTTGCTTCCCACGAGTTGCTGTGCGCAAACTCACTTTTTAAACACCGTTACCAGCTGTAGCTAATGAAGGGAATCAGGGCCCTTTCCTCCCCCGTAAGCCACGTAACTCATGTTGCTCCCTTCTCCGTTCCTCCCTGCATGCCCTAGGATGAAGAGGGGGTGGGCCTGGAACTTTCTCTGCCTTCCCTCTGCCTTGCTCTACCTCTCCCCTGCTCTGCCCAGCCAGCATTTGCCCTTCCCCAGTTTCTTTCACAGCCACCAGAGCCACACTCCCATTCCCTGTCAGCTGCTCGGCCTCCCCTCATGACAAATACTCTCCCTTCAGAGTTGAGGATAACCATGACCTTGTTGGCCTTTTGCAAGGCCATGAAGGCTTGGTTGTGTGAGTGTGTTAAGGGCCTGAGTTGCTGGCTATATTAACATACATAGCAACATTTTTACTTGGTGCCATATATATTTATTTTCTACTGTTTAAATGATTTTTATTGTTCTTAAGCTTTATAAAACATAATGCAATGTTTTATTGCCGAGAATCACTTGCTGAAATGGATGGCTATAGAAATCAAATAAATAAATTGTGGGACACCTCTAATGGCAATCCAAACATGCCTTATTTATAAAATATGCTAGATCTGTTTTATGAAACTATTACAAACAGTGATAAAGGGTAGTGAAAAGTCTGCTAGAAAACAAGCAAGCATCAAGGACCCTTTATTACAAACAGTCATATTGTTTCATTAATATATTCAGTAACTTTCTATGTCTTGAATCAGGTTTCTACTTTGGATGGAGTTCTAGAAGTTCGAAATGAACACTTCTGGACATTGGGGTTTGGTTCATTGGTATGTGTTTATCCACTTTAATCACTTTTTCCTCTGAAAAATCAAGTATTAAGAATGAAGAAATGCATTCTAATAGTTTCTCATCCAAGAATTGCAGAACGTACTAAGTTATTTCAGAAGTATGTTTCTTATTGTGCATTTGTCCCCGTCTATCAGTGTTATATGTCACAGACTGATGAGCTTTTCTTAATTTGTCTCCTAGGCTGGTTCGGTTCATGTGAGAATTCGAAGAGATGCCAATGAACAGATGGTACTTGCACATGTGACAAATCGGTTACATGCCTTAGTATCTATTTTGACTGTTCAGATTTTCAAAGATGACTGGATTAGGCCTACTTTGGCCACTGGACCTATTGGGAACAATATGCTGAACCTTTCAGATCATTACATTATTTCAATGCCATCTCTAAAAGCAGCAGAAAGTTCTGACCATGTTACATCCACTCCAACTAAACCAAGTAGTCCACCTCCAGAATTTGCTTTTAACACACCAGGTAAAAATATGAACCCTATCATTCTCATGAACACTCAGACAAGGCCCTATGGATTGAACTTCAACCATGGAACTGTACCTTACAACAGTGTCTTCACTCAAGGCTTTGGATTGCCAGGAACGGGAGTAACCCAGGGATTCAGGACTGGCTTCATTAATGTTCCCCAGAGATATGGAACTGGTACTCGAGGTCAATTAAAACCCTAATAAACTGTTTCTATATTTATTGTTTAAAATTACTTCAATTATTTTATTGCTCATTTTTCTACAAGACTGTTTGATTTCTTGGTAACTAGTATCAGAAGTTTTCAAAATCATGAAAACGTGCACTCGTGGATTGACTTAATTTTTGATGCAGCTATCTATTTCTGACTGTAAAGCCATAGCTTTATAAAAAGTTATTGCAATTGCATATATTGCTGGTCTTGTAAATAATTTCAGAACAGTATATGAAAGGAACTCCAGAAAATAACGGTTTTGCAAAGTGTCTATTAACAAAATTATTTTTTAAAAAGTTTGTCTTTGATATAATCATACAATCATTTTTAAAAGATACTTTCTGAACAATGGAAAAATGATTATTTGGTCCAGCAAGCATTCCTAAAATTCAGGTTGATATTAAAATGGTTATGGGTAATCTTGCTTATGAAGTGCAGAGGAGAACTCATGAAATATGACAGTGTAAGAAGACAACAAAGGTCATCCAGCTACCTGTAACTGATTATTAAGAATACATTTCTCGCATACAGAGTTACTTTTCGGGAAGAAAATTGGCATCAGAGATTTTAAACAGGAACATGTGGACGGTTAGACTTTAGGGACAAGTTTCTCCCCTCCTCCAAGAGCATAGGCCTGAGGGGAAGAGCTGAAGTGGTCCTGGGTACATGAAGAGCTTAAAATTCCAGAAAAAGGCCTATAGCTGTGGTAGAGATAGAGATGGATTCTTATGGTGGTGTTTAATTACAGAGGAGGGAAATGGAATTAAGAGTAACGATGGAGATTCAGAGTGTGAAGCAAAGAAGGCTCTGTCTTTATCTCCCAACATCAATATAAATTTCAGGCTGAGGAGAACTGCAGGTGGACCAAAGGAAAATAGCATTTGGATTTTGATTGACAGGAAAGGAAATGCTGAAAAATCCAGCTCAGAATTGCTAAGCAATAAAAACAACTGATTTAGCTACTATCCTGAAAGAATCTACAATAGAATGAGTGTTGATCTAGCAGACTGTTGTGGTAATTTCAGTATTCAATATTCATTCTTTTTAGCCTGATTGAAAGATTGCTTCATTTTAAGCCTTCTTCCCTCCTTTGCCTTGATTTTATGACCCAGAGCTTCTGTAGCTTGTGCTATCCTTCCTGGTGCATATATATGCACAAACGTGTATAGATGAAGAATGACCTAGAGCAAAAATATTTCACCTGGTTACACAAAATATAATACAGGGGCTTTCTAAGCCTACTGCTAGGAAAGGAGTAAAAAAAAAATCCAAAATCCATGCTTGGCAAGTTTTGCTCACCTTGTTAACACTCCTTGTGGCAGCAAAAGGTTTCACACAGGAGATTTAGCTCATGTTTAATTGGGGCCCATCTGCTTTTTCATCAAGAATGTCAGGTTGAATATGCTTTGTTCTGCTAATAAGTATTTGTGAGTGATGGAGTTGTATACTTACTACTTGCATTGTGTGTTGTAATTGGTTTTCCCGTCAGTGACATCTTCCATTTAAATAAATGAAGGATACTAATGGCTAGTTTGGGGTTAGCAAAAGTTTCCACTGTGGGAAATCAGAAGTGACTCATTTTTTAAATAGCATGCTTTGGGGGACCCCATTGTGGAATTGCCCTTCGTCTCTTCTTTTCCCCCAATAAAGAAGGTATTCCTTTATGCTGAGATACTCAGTGTAAGCATGTTTACCTTCCCTGGATAAGTTTGCCATTCCTTTATGAACAGAAAGTCCTTTGAAAACTGATCTATTTCCATCATGAAATTATGAGATTATATGCAATTTATCTGTAACAAATACAAAGGTATGAATAAACATACAATGGTGCTTAAAAATTTCTGTACCCTTCTGAATCATCAGTATTGCTGCATAAATACTACCTAAAACATGATCTGTCCTCCACAAAAATCTTAAAACTGGATAAAGAACCAATTAAGTAAAGCCAAAATAGTGCACTTGTTCATTTATGAAAAGAATGTAAAGTTATGGGTTTGTGTGTGGCAAGAGCATGTAAATGTCTAGATTTATCAATTCATTTGAAGGAGAAATTAGAATCTGATTTCAATCAATTAGTTAAAATCAGGATCAAGTGTGGGAGGTCCTGCCTTATTTAAAGAACATAATTCCGAGAATTCATCAAAGTGATCTTTACAACACTGATATGTGGAACTCTGTCAGCTCAAACAAAGAAGAGCTTTTGACCTCATAAAAACAGTTGATGCTCAGAATAACATTTAATTTCTCTCTTTCGTTGGTGAATATCAATTTTCACAAGACCAACATCAGGACAACTCTGAAAAAATAAGCATGGCCCGGTTGTAAGGAGAAAGCCAAGTTATATTTTATGGAACAATGTTACATGCCTACTTAGAAAGGTATGTTCTTTTGGAGCAACTAATTAAACCAGATTTGTAAAAACCTATGTTTTTTTATCTTGTCTAAAACAGTTCAACCATTCTCATATTGTGCTGTATAGTCTAGCTCATTTAAATCTACTTATGATGCACAGGAATTCCTTCTGTCCAACATTATATTTAAATATTGATCCTATATGAACAGTTTCTCCTTACCTAATATTATGTTATACAGTTTTGTTACACAGCTTATAAAATTTATGTGATTTCGTCTTTTCTGTGCATTGGCTTCATTTTGTATGTTTGATTTCTGATGTTCCCTGCCAGCTTCCCACAAGGAAATGCAATGGAGAAGCTGACAGGAATTTACTTCCACTCCCACTGTTTCCCCCTCCCATTCTGTTTCTCTGTTTAGGTAACGAAATCTCTCCATGTCTAGTTTAAACTAACAACCCCCTCCACTTTTAATGACTACAATAGGAACCAAAAGAATAGAATATGATTGTAAAGACATGGTTTTTAGGGATAGTTGCTTTTCGTTCAACCATATATGTGCAGAATCTACCCTATTAATTATAGTGTGTTTATACTATCTTATACAATCACCTAGTATGTCAAAAATATTAGGCTGCTGACAGAATCACATATTGCCTAATAGAAAAATGTGGTTAGATGAACAATGCTTGTAAAATTACAGTTTTGGAACTCATATAAAATTGGCTATTCTGTCAAATTAACACCAGTGCATGGTGCAGATACGATGTAATCAATTGAAAGGATTTTCCTGCCCAAGGCGGAATGGTTTTATAATGTTTCGTGTATTAAGATTAATTCACCCTTTTTATATAATTAGGAAAGCCAGTTTGGTGTACTGGTTAAGGCACAGGCTAGAAACCTGGGGATTGAGTTCTAGTCCTACCATAGGCACAAAACAAGTTGGGTAGCCTTAGGCCAGTCACTTTCTCTCAGTCCTAGAAAGGAGGTAATGGCAACCACTTCTAAAAAACCATATCAAGAAAAATGCAGCGCTTGTCTAGGTAGTTACCAAGACTAATATGAAGTATATGTTTAAACTATTAACTGTTGAATTATGCTGCCATTTTGAGCATTGTTTTCTGAGGATCTCCAGGGAATGAAATAAATGGAGGAATGAATGTTTGTTCACATCTGCACTAGAGGTAGGAGACAGGACAGTAGAACCTCTGGTCATGACCATAATTTGTTCCATAATTTTGATTGCAACTCAATTTGGTCATGACCTGAACCTAATTTTAGAAAGTTAGCACTTACAAAAAAAAAAATGGCATCAGGGGCCATGAAAAAAATGTGAATTTTTTTGGTCAGAATTCGATTTGGTCATGGTCAGAAGCGTTCGTGACCAGAGGTTCTACTGTACTTAAATGTAGCTTGAACATATGTTCATAATAGTGGATTCTACTAACCCATCTATGATTAACTTGCAAACTTGAATATTATTAATTTCAATAAAGGACTAATAGTATGCTGAGATCATTCATCATCAAGTAAATTGTAATCAGTCAATATATATTTTTACAGCATGATTTAATGAGATGTGGATTGATGATTTACACACCTGGTTCAGAATTGTAGTCCAGGCAGTCACTCCATTTTTTTATTGGCACTCACAGCTATAGAAGACTACAACATTGGCACCTTAAATCATATTTGGGAATCATTCAAACAGCAGTGCAATAGACTAGCCACGTACAGGTGTTTGTTTTTTTTGCACTTGTGTGAATTGGCAAGTCAAAGTTGCTCAGATTCTCACCCTGAGATGCTTCATTGTTCTTTTTAACATCACTTTTGTCAAGTTATTAAACATTTATATTAAAGATTAATAGAAAGAAGTTAACATCTAAGATATATAAACACTTCCCATTCATTGTTAAATTAAAAAGTCAGTTAAATTAAAAATGATATTTTGATTTTTTTTTACATCCAGCTTCTCATAATAACATTTAACTTTGACACTGCCAGGTATTTGTTGCTTAGGAATAAATTTTAAAATTTCACTAACATTATAAAATCTAGATGGACAATCAGTTTTTGTCATGGTCAAGGCGTAAAGTAGGAGATCTGATTGCTGTATCTACAGTAAAGGCCTATTCTTGGAAGAATCCTAAACAGAACTAGGTGTTTAGAGCAAAATATCAATTTAAGGGTAACAGTTATCCCAAATTGAGATATTCCAGAACAAAAACTTGCAGGATTTTGCTGAGGTTGTCAATAGTTGCCTTGTCAAGATTCTCTTCATTGTCCTCCATAGTATGCCATACTCTAGGGAAAGGTGAAGGTATCAAGTGTAGGATTGGGACACCTGTTGGGATAAGAGAGAACAAAAAGATGAAGAATTGGTCCAACTTTTGAGACAACTATTATTTCTCAACAATGTTGTACAATACATAAACTGAAAGTGTGATGGCGTTAATGTTCTAATCTCATAGTTTAATCTACTGAATATCAGAAAATCATTAAAACTCCACTGCTGCTAAAATTGTAAGAACATTTAAAGACTAACCATCTCATTTTTTGCAAAAAGTATTTTAAACAATGGATTTTACCTATTAGGGATAATAAGAGTTTTGAAGTGGGATCTATCTTTAAACATAATCATTTTTAAATCCTACGTATAAATAGCAAGTGCACTTTTTACCTCTAGAACAGGAATGTCCACAGGCAGAGGCAAATGATCTGACACAAACTGTTCCTTTTGTATGTGCCCTAGATGGACCCCTGAATATCCTAAAGGGCAAGACTTATGAACAACCCCTGCTCTAGAGAAGGGTATTTGGAGCAACAGACTGAAAAGTATGGCACAATACTCTTGGACAAAATTACTTTGTATATGTGAATTGAATAGACATTTGGTCTAAATGTTTCATTTACTTTTTTATGTTTATATAATACTGGGTTGATGGGATTTTTGCCAATGTATTTTCCTTAATTTGAATTGCCATGCTGAAAAAAAAGATCAAGATCCCTCAGCCTATCATTCTCCCCCTCTCTCTCCCCACCTCTCTCTAATTTACAATATGAGATGGGATGAGAAAAGAAACAATTGTGCAATATCTTTTACCATAATTATAATCACTGACTTCCTTGTATTAATATTATGATTTGTCAAAAATAAAATAAGCCACATTCTGAAAAATGGGTTTGTGACCAGACCTGACTATAAGAATGAAAGTTTGTACAATTCTTTTAAGTCTGGAGAAATATTTGCATACATAAATAACACTTTTACATATATTGCTGAATGTATATCAATTAAAACACATTAAAATTCATACCTCTTCTCAAAAATGGAATATGGTCATCCTCAACTGGATGTCGACGTAAATTACTCCGGAAGTACTGCCTCTCAGAAGAATAATTATTTAGCAAATGCAAATCATGAAGGTTTCGTTCTGCAGGGTTTTTTTTTTTAAAATATAGCAAGTTGTGAATATCAAAGTAATCGGTGTTTTTTTAAAGCTCTCAATCTGTTTAAAACATTTTGAAGCAAAAATGAATTTTCCTTAGAATTTTATGCACCCTCAATGCTTTGTGAATGCAAACTCATAGTTATAACTGTTACCGTATCCCAGAAAATAGCCTTAGAACAGATATTTTGCTTAATCTGTATTGTACTGTTTTGGTAGCATTTGTTCAGTTTTTATCTTAACAGAGTCCACAATGATTTTTAAAAATATGTATATGTGGCTAGTTAATTTCTTGATACTGCTGCAATGCACGAGTTTTTGCTTAAACAACTCCTTTACTTGTGATGTAAAGTTGTAATAGATTATATTACTAGAAATACTCGACCATACAAAACTAGATGATACGAATATCCCTTTACGAGTTAAACTGGTATATTTTGTAAAATGTTCTTACCAATGGCTTCAAGTCTCCCAAACCATCGAGCTGTATTCAAAAAGTAAACAGGAAAAATAGGGTTTCGTGCACCAATTAAATCCAGCAACACAAAAAGATCCTATGGGAAATCAGTCAAGGTTAGTCCTTTAAATGCCACTCTCAGAGTTTTACCCATAAGAGAATATTAATGACTGTCTAAAATCAGTGAATGTGGACAATTCCAGACAAGTATTTCAAAATACTTATATTGCTGTATTTATACTGTTGAATATAAATATCCCAGAGAGATTGAAATCTTCCACTCACAAACCTTGTTGTGATTCTTACTGTAATTAGTAAGGACTTGATTCTGATTAATAAGTCTACAAAGACTTCAGATGACAACTGCTTTTAAGTGGCATGCCTCTGTATTTGTTTTATCAATTAACTTATCTTTGTTTGTCTGTTTTATCTGATTAATTTTTATTTCATTGCAGATTGTATTATTCTATTCTACTGGTGGCACTACGGTTAGAATGCAGTATTGCAGGCTAACTCTGCACCCTGCCAGGAGTTTGATTCTGACCAACTGAAGGTTAGCTCAGCCTTCCTTGCTTTTGAGGTCAGTAAAATGAGGACCCAGATTGTTTGGGGCAATATACTGACATTGTAAACCACTTAGACAGGGGTGTAAGGCACTATGAAGCATATATAAGTCTAAGTGCTAATGTAATTCTAAATGATAGTTTAGAAAGTCATGCTTGCAATTCTTTTCATAACCCTAATCATATTTAAGGTAAAGAGCATAGATTCCATGATTCTTTATTCATATCCTTGAGCTCTAGGAGTATGGCTACAAAATAACTGAAAATTTTGGCATTTTATAGGAGGGACATAGGTGTAGTGATTATTTTACTACAAAGGTTGCTCCTCTATGAACAAGCATTGCCTATCAGTACAAAAATAGGAGCAGAATCTATTTTGTTAATTTCATTAAGAAGTTTGTACTACATTTTGAATGTGTCATGTGATTAACTTTAGAACTCTGTTTCTAAAGATAGATCTCTCAGGTCTCCCCTAAATCCAAGGACTCAGACATGGGGGACCCTGCTCAAGAAAAATATCAGACTTAGGAATCAGGAGCAGTCAAGCACCAAAGCTGAGTGTCCTAGCAATAATCTGGAACAGATGCAGAACAACATAAAAGACAAAGATCCTGATCCCAAGCAGTCACCCAACCTAAAAAAATGCTGTGAACTCTGGAGAATGGAGTAGAGGAACACCAAGAGCAAAAATGACAATTGTCTTAATTAAATCTTGTCCACACTAGCTGATATAGTGCAACTACCAGAAGTTGGTTTTTCTGTTGGGAACATCTACTCTAACCATGGATTGGCATTTTTATGTCATTCAGTCTTACGTATTATCTGAACCCTGGGCTGTCTGACAATTTTCTATAGCATTTGGACCATTGAACTGTTCCTGATCCATGTATGCTCATAATCTGATTTGGCTTTGGACTCACAGGCAATATTTCACTTTCTTGTTAGTGTTCTGGTGTGCTTGCACACATCAGAGCTCTGCCTGCCAAAGCCTATAATTCTTGAAAACTTAAAAGTAAACAGATTGCAACTCAACTTTGTGTATATGTTCATCCTGAAACAGGACAGCTCCCTTGTAAGGGTCTCCTGACCCCCACAAAATCTCTTCCTCTCTTTCTGCTGGGGAGGGTGACTCCTTCCCTCCCATTCGCAACACAAGCCTCAATAATACAGTAGTCTACAACTTCCCTTTTCAAGACCCCATTTAAAGTACTAATTGCAAAATATTTTTGTTTCTCTTCCAATCTTTCCCTTCTTTAAAAACTTTCTTCCCAATCATTATAACATTTAAAAAATTGGACTAATAGGATATTGTTACATAAAATAGGAAATTAATGTTACGCCAAACACTTCTGCCATTTTTAGCCCTGTATCCAGTATTTGTAAAGTTTTTACTTACAATGCCTTGAATTTGATTTGTGTTCCTGACACCTGGTGGATGAGGAGTAGATGCCATTTTCTGGGCCAAAGATCTAGAGCCATACAAGGAATCAGAAGGGGACCATCGCACAAAAGCTTCTTCACCGTCAAAGAAAATAAGCTTCAGAGAAAGATCTGCCTTGGGTGGCAAACTGCTTTGCTATAGAATAGGTGGGAAACAGAATGGAAAGTCTGTCACCTTACTTAGAACCACAGTAAATGCAACTTGAAGAAAAAGTAAATACCTTCAGAAAAGAAAGCTGTCTGTCCAAGGACCTTGCCAATTCTAGCATCATTGCACAAGGTACAGCTGAGTCAGTGGCTCCAACAAACACTTTACCGTCCAGCTGCGGTGGAAAATATTTTGAGTCATAATGGCAAGCAACCACCAAATGGCGTTTGGCAAGGGGATTGAGAGTACTGATTATATTTGAAAAAGTGCGGTATCCATAAGGAGTATGACTCTGAAATGTGTCTTCTTCAACCAGCCAGCCAGCTTGCAATCCTTGTAGGCGATGCTTGATATGCTAAAATATATAGAACCAAAAGTCAATTGTGATCAATAATGTTGTTTTAAGTTAGTCCATACAAATCAATCTTGCAAGGGGCAATAAATTTCCTGAAGAAGATTAACCTTTCCCCCTGAAACCTACTATTCAAGAAATGTTCATTCACAGCTTTGAATACATTTCTCTCTAGGAGAGCTTTTCAAGCAGCCATTTCATTGATAATGAAGCAGAGCAAGTCGTCTTTTTCAGGCTGCAATTCCGTTTGCATACTGCAAACCAAAATTTGGGACTGAGCAAACTCCGTCAGCCTTTTTCAACATGGTGCCTTTCAGATGCAGTCAATTCCCATAACTTTCCATTAGCTCACCTGTTATCTGCAGCATCTAGGAACAACTATCAAATATATCTGAAGGGCATCAAGCAAAGAAAATGTGATAATATACAGTATTTACATCTTTCTCATTTTTAGCTATGAGAATAATTCAGAATGCTGGTAATTCAGATCTTGGAGTCTCTTTTTTCTTCTAATACCACATGTTGCAAAGGAATGGATCAGAGAGGCAATTGTATATATGGACAAATATAAAGCTTTTAGCCATTTTGAGCTTTGAATAAGAGTGCTTCTGCAGTGAATATTACAGAAACAATTAAAAGAAAATCGGGATGAGAAAATTCTATATTCATTACATTTTCTTTGTGGTCATAATTGCAGAAGGCATAGAAACTTTTCAAAATATGAAAGGCATAGAAATTGTTCAAAATATGAGATATTTAATATTCAGTCAGCAATTCCAGATTGAAATGCAAGACTTATGAA